TACCTAATGGGGTACCAGATGAACCAGGCTGGAAATGAGAATACTGGTCAAGCACTTGCCACCACCACTTTGAACGCGATTCCCACCTTGGCATATGAAGATGTCAATCCAATAACTGACCCCCATCAGATGGGGGGACAGGAGATGCCCTGTCGGGGGAAAGGCCGAGGTCGAGGCTCTGGACCTAGAAATAGGTCAAACCCGAACCCCCCAGGATACTGTGTACACCACAGGTCCTACGGACATAACACAGCGGATTGTAGAGACTATGCACAACGTTCCCGGCAGGAACCCATTAGAGACAGACATGATTCGCCCCAGGTGAACAGGCCCCCGCTCAGGCACGACAACCAACGCGAGCGTGAGGAGGTCGCTCCCCGTCAAAGGGATGTATCCCCACGGCGAAGGGAGCATAATGCAGAGAGCCCCAGGGAAGGGCGTAGACACCAAAGAAATCGGCAAGCTAGAGATGAAGCCCCTATCCACGAGGTGGACACCATATTTGGAGGCCCATATATTGGCGGCGAAACGCCAAACGCCAAAAGGAACTACGTCGGGAGGCTAAACGCCCCCCTTTGACAAGCTACATCGTGGGTAGCAGCTCCTGAAGAAACCAGGTCCCACCCATTGTATTTTCCCTGGAAGACGAAGAGGGAGTTCATTACCCCCACTGCGATGCACTTGTGGTGAGGGCTGTCATAGCCAGGAATGGGCTCAAACGAATGTTGGTTGACAACGGCAGCTCCGTTAACATTCTATTCGGATCCACCTTTGATAAAATGATATTAGATCATCAGTTGACGCCCACCACCACTCCATTGTACAGATTTACCGGAGATAGCATCACTCCGAGAGGAAAGATAACACTAGCAGTAGAGATGGGGAAATCCCCACGAACAACGACGAACTTCATGGAGTTCCTCATTGTTGACAGCAGGTCGGCCTACCATGGGGTGTTGGGCAGACCAGCCTTGAAGGAACTGGGAGCAGTCACCTCCATCCACCACCTGTGCATAAAATTTCCAACTGAAAGTGGGGTGGCAATGGTGAGAGGTGACCAAAGAGGCTCGAGAGAATGCTATCTAAGCTCCATCAAGAAGGCAGAGCCCCGGGACATCCATGTAGTCATAGCTGACGTGGTCATGGCTGACGTCTTAGGTGATGCTCCCACCGAACAAGAAGATGTTGATATGATCGATGCACCACCTAATGCCGAGGCGCTGGTCATCGATGAAATTGACCCCCGCATCATGGAACAGGAGCCTCAGGCATCTCCAGTAGAGGAATTTGAGAGCTTCTCAATAGACCCCCGAGACCCATCAAAGGTACTGAAAGTAGGCAAATGCCTAGCCAACATTCTGAAAGAAAAGATTAAGGATTTCCTGAGCAAGAATCTTGATGTCTTTTCCTGGAAGCATGAGGACATGGTAGGCATAGACCCCAAGGTCAGCTGCCACCACCTAAAAATTGATCCCAAGGTTGCCCCGCATAGACAAAAAAGGAGAGCCCT